CACACACACACACACACACACACACAGACACACACACACACACACACACACACTGTAAAAATTAGAATAACAAGGGCTCTGATAAAAACTATTTAAATGCTTTTAAATGATTTTATCGGCAAACCGGTTTTGAAAATGACCAGTACCAATAACCATAAAAATGTATAAAAATAATCAGTCAACCCCTATTGAAAATAATAATAAATGTTTCTTGAGCAGCAAACCAGCATATTAGAATGATTTTGAAGGGTCATGTGGCACTGATTCTAGAGTAATAATGACAAAAATTCAGCTTTGCATCTATTAAAATAGAAAGCTACGTTTCTAAAATAGAAAAGAAAGTTATTTTAAATTTAATATTTCACAATATTAACATTTTACTGTATTTTTGATCAAAAATGATTAATTCAGTCTTGGTGGGCATAAGAGACTTGCCAAACCCAAACTTAATGGTATTATTTTAAATATCAATCTAAATACTATGGCACATGAATATGGTAATTATTGAGTTTCATGGTACAACCACAGTACTCTTCTGGGTGAAAAGCCCACCTGTCTGATTTAAATCTACATTGCTCTGGAGTAATGAGTGTTAATGATTCAGCAAGGAATATAAGGTGACAGAGGAGACAAACTAATGAATATTTCATGACACAGGGGGAACAGCTGAGCCACGGGAGGTGTCAGCTGGAAAAAATAACAGAACACAAACAAACGATTCAAAGCACACATTAGGAATAAGTGTCACTGTCTGCACCTGGAAGCAAACTATAAAAATACACTACTCTCATAATGTGTGTGTGTGTTTGTGTGTGCTACCATCTTCTCAGCCACATCTGAGAGTCTAGTCATAGGTCACAAACAGCTTTGGCTCGGATCAGGAAGGCCATATGGTTGAGTGGGCAGTAGACCGTCTAGAGAGGGAAACACACAAACACTGGCAGCGGTAAAGGCCAGCAATGTCAATACACACAGAACACATACACACCTAATATCCAGTCAACCTTTCAGGTTTTCCATGTATCCGTCTGTGCCCTTTACTAGTAGCAATGATCTTGGCTGAGGCCTGCAGGGTGCCCAAAAATGCCCTCAAGTCCAACAGATGTGCAGCGGCCTCTGCGGATGCTGAGGGCACCTCTAACAATCATGCGAACAGTTTCCATTCAGTGCAACTCAACAGACACTGTCAGCAGTGGCAGCTGGTGGAAAATTCTCACCGTATCCAACTATTTTAGCATAGCTACTTCCCAGTATGACTTAAGGAAAAATATAAATACTTGAAATATTTTAAATAGAAGTTCAAGATTAGGTTTAAGGATGTTTCTCACAAAACTATATTTTCTGCAAGGATTTTTCAAGATAAATTTTAAAAAATTTAAGTTTCATAATTCACAATTTATGTATAAAGTGCAACAGCAAAAACTGTGAGGAAAAAATAAATGTCATGTTTGTTTAGAGCATTTTCCATAACTACAAGTTAAGCTGCACTACCAAACAGGACCACACGGAGATGCCAACAGAGTACTATACCAGCTGCCTTAACCTGAGTGTATATAAATGTTTACGGATCCATTCAGAATTATTAAACAGAGCAAAACACAAATTAAAAAAGTAAATAAAAACATTCTGAATTTGTTGAATGTGGTGATCTGAAGGCAGCTCAACATGACCAGTGAACAGTTCGTCAGAGTGAGTGTTGATGCCCATATGTATATAAACACCACTGACCATTATAAACTCCAATTAAAAAACACTTCTTCAGCGAGTGTCCATTATAAAACAGACATGCGACCATACTGAAATGTGCTCGTGAAAAAATCTATCAAAGAACGCAAATACACGGTCTGTTTGTTTGCACATTAATAATAACGGACTCGCGCGTGTCTAATAATGTATGACTCCTGTATGTCACTGTAATTGTCTTTACCTCCATTACAGTCATCTTCCATCAAAACTTTACTGGTGAGATACTGGTTTGCTTTATACAGCCCATACAGACTAGTCCTGACTTCAGCTTAAAGATAATTAATAGAGGTATGTTTGTTCCCACCAATCACTGCACAAGTTAAGGTTGCGTATGATGATGAAAGCATGTTAGTGCTAGCCCTCCCAGAACTCATAGAGATTGCACTCCAGTCCCTGCAGTTCGAAAAAAAAACAAATCTTTGTATGGAAGTCTATGAGAACACTCGGGGCGATTCTCGGCCGGAGTGAAATCGCCCAAAAAGAGGTAGCACTCCACAACGTGACTTGACGCTGATTAGACTATATATCCAGAGGCAGAACAAACAGTGAACAGTGAAAACTAGCGTAACACTTTGGTTTAATGTGATAGAAAAAAAAAACTCCCTTTCACACTTTGGTGGTGTGTTGCCCTATCGCCCTAATGAAGAAATGCCCATACTGTTTACTCAGACAAAATAGGGATAGTGTAGGAAATTCTGATTAATTATAAATGATATATTAATCATAAAGTCCTTCTGTAAATTTATATGAGTATGATGCTAAAATCCAATTAATTTCATGCAAGAAAATTGGGAGGGCTCATTTCAGACCAGTGGTTCTCAATCTTTTTTCTCTAGTATTTCTGCTGTAAGTGATTTTTAACACGAGTATTTAAAAGAAGTGTATGTGTGTGTCTGTATATATATATATATATATATATACAGTGGTGTGAAAAAGTGTTGGCCCCCTTCCTGATTTGCATGTTTGTCACACTTTAATGTTTCAGATCTTCAAATTAATTTAAATATTAGTCAAAGATTACACAAGTAAACACAACATGCCGTTTTTAAATGAATGTTTTTATTATTAAGGGAAAACAAAATCCAAAACTACATGGCCCTGTGTGAAGAAGTGTTTGCCCCCCTGTTAAAACTGTGGTTTATCACACCTGAGTTCAATTAGGCCTGGCCTGATTACTGCCACACCTGTTCACAATCAAGAAATCTCTTAAATAGGACCTGCCTGACAAAGTGAAGTAGACCAAAAGATCCTCAAAAGCTAGACATCATGCCGAGATCCAAAGAAATTCAGAAACAAATGAGAACGAAAGTAATTGAGATCTATCAGTCTGGAAAAGGTTTTCTAAAGCTTTCTAAAGCTTTGGGACTCCAGCGAACCACAGTGAAGCCATTATTCACAAATGGCAAAAACATGGAACAGTGGAGAACCTTCCCAGGAGTGGCCGGCTGACCAAAATTACCCCAAGAGCACAGCGACGACTCATTCTAGAGGTCACAAAAGACCCAACAACAACATCCAAAGAACTGCAGGCCTCACTTGCCTCAGTGTTCATGACTCCACCATAAGAAAGGGACTGGGCAAAAATGGTCTACATGGCAGAGTTCCAAGACGAAAACCGCTGCTGAGCAAAAAGAACATAAAGGCTCATCTCAGTTTTGCAGGTAAAATAAACATATATAATTTGTGCAAATAAATAAATAAAACTTATCAAAAACTACGATTTCAAGTCATCATTGAAGATCTATTCTGACTGAAAAAGCTTCAAAGCCTTTGATTGATTGGTTAATGGTTTTTAAATCTATACAGTGTAAAATTAACTTACAGATTGTGGCAATTTTAATATAGCAGTAGACTTCAATTTCGATTAAGTACAATGGCTTTAAGGCTTTCAATTATGCTGCTGACCAACTGTGTTCAGGTTTATTTTTAGAAACACATTAAGTGGATATCCTTCAATAAGACGATCAAACGGCACTTAAAGCAGTAATTCCCCTCTAGCAAAATGGGTTTTTAATAAAACTTGCCTATCTATGCAGTAGAAAGTCTGAATCTTTTTTAAATTGGTCCTGCATAGATATTTGGGTGCAGGTAACATGAAGAAAGAGTACCCTAGTAAAAAAGTAGTATATTTAAAATACATTTAGGCCTATTACAAATATAATTCAAATCTATTAACATATTTACTAACATATCACTGGAGACTTACTGATATGAAATTATAATTCAACTTTATTTGGAGTACTTGTGCACAGTTCTTAATATTAAGCCTAAAATGTGTTTTAATGTCACTATTGATGAGGATTGTGTGATCTTTGAATAATATTGGGTCTTTAAATGCAAGATATTGAAAGTGTACCTAATGTATACTTGCAATAGCACCACTTTAGCACAATCATATATACTTTAGTATCTTTAGTTGGACTTCAGCACTACTTCCACACAATTAAAGTGCATTAAGTACAAATTAGTTAGGGTTAGGGTTTCAATTTAGCAGACTTTAAGTATACCATGTATACTGAAAATACAATTGCAGGCTATTTTTATTAAGTACATAAATATATAAATGTATTTGTAGCATACTTAGCATGAACTAAATGTATATATTTAACATGAAAATATATATTTATTTTTCACTAGGGTACACATTGTTCATTTACATATTATGTCAGTAGCATAACAATACAGTTGAAAGTTGGTTGAAAATCCCCAAAGTCACACTAATGGTTCTCTTTTTTGCCCGAAGCATTATAAACCAAAAAAGTCTGCAAAAAATACATTTATGTCATTTATTAAGGGGGAATTTCAGAGAAGAACAGACTAGACAAGTAGCTTGTGTAAAATTCATCACGCGTTCTGCTAATATGACACCCTTTCACCTGAAATACCAAACAGCTAATTAAGAAACCAGGCAACTGAGACTGTGAAAACACACAGCGTGACATCCGCTTGTCGATTCTATCTAAACTAGACGCCAATAAAATACCCTGAATGAGAATTTAATCTTAATTAAACTTTTCCTTGTAGATGTTCACATTTTGTGCATCTTTGTGTGGATTGAGGAAAGGCTACACAAAATATGATGCACCTCTCCTGCAGTGTGACAATAGGAGATTATCAAACATAGAGCATTTTTATGAGCAAACAGCAGGAAGGTTTGGTTCATGTTGTCAAACTTGTCATCCTTCTCCAATAATCTTTAGAGGGAGCTTTTGAGCTAAAATGTCAGTGTGGCATTTGGAAGAGCATTTCTCCTGGTCCAAGAAGTTCATGGCCACTTTGGTTGTTTGATTGTGGACTTTCAGCTTAATGCTGCAGGATGGAGAGAGGAGATAGAGAAAGACCAAGAGAGGTGGACACAGCTAGATAGACATACATTTGTGGTACATTGTGAACAATATCAAAATTCTGATCAGAGCAAACGTATTTGACATTCCACGTGCTGATGTACTGACTGTCAGATAGATACTGCAATACATATTCCAAATGACAAGGCAGACAGCTGCCCACACGATAAAGAATTTAGAGCAGTTTGAGGTCTGAGTACATGACAACCTACCAATCAAGCAAGAAACTGCAAATGACATTATGTGCAACACTCTGTGTATTGTGGTTTTCAATTAAGTCTTTTTTCCCCAAAAGTTGTCTTTAATTATAACATTTTGATTTGATTTTACTCACCTCACATATTTAAAAAGACAAGTACACTTTAGTATACTTCTTTAAAATGAGCACTGAAAAATATACTTTAAAAGAATATAGTGCAAACTGAATGTAATGTTTTCAGACCTGCCTACCCTCCAAGAACTGTATACATCCAGAGCGAGGAAAAGGGCTCAAAAAATCACTCTGGATCCATCACATCCAAGCCATCTCCTTTTTGAACTTTTGCCATCTGGTCGGCGTTACAGAGCACCGAATACCAGGACAGCCAGGCACAAGAACAGTTTCTTTCCCCAGGCAATCTACCTCATGAACAGTTAATGTTCTCCCATTGTGCAATTAAAGTACAGTATGTGCAATAACCTTATACTTATTTATTACCCTAAACCCTAGTACATCCCTACAACTTATTTTATTTTATTCTATTCCTATTCCATCTATAGCACACCTGTACATGCAATTTATTCTTTTTTTGTGGTTTATATTTATGCATGTGTATTTTATTCACATCTCATTTTTATTATCTGTGTGTTGTTGTTGTCTCCGTGTACTGGAAGCTTGTGACACTATAACAAATTCCTTATATGTGCAAACATACTTGGCAATAAAGCTCTTTCTGATTCTGATGTTTTCAGACACTTAATTGCATGTTAATGGCCATTAAATGAAAATGCATTATAGTTTAAATGTATAGTAAATGCAAATAGCTTAACTTTAAAGTGCTTTTTTGACCCACTTAACACTTAAGAAATTACTCATAATTACTTAATTTTTCTTTGAAATATGGTTAAAGCTTACAGCCGAATGTACTGACAAGCACGTATGATTAATAAGATAGCCTACTTGTCATATCTATGGAAATGTTCTATGTTGTGTGTGTGTGTGTGTATATATATATATATAAAATGTAATATATATTTTAATTTAATACATTTTAATATATAAACTTTAAATGTAATATCATATAAAACACTATAGTTCCTTTATTAATTAGTATTATGTTATCTACAAGTACAGTTTTTTTTTAAACAAATAAACTTTAAAGATTTGAAGCTTATTACTAGTGCACATTTAATACAATTAAGAGCACTGTACACAAGGTTTTTTCACAAGGGCACCCATATGATGTTCTTAACTTGTATGAGTTCTTTCTTCTGTAGAAGACAAAAGAAGATAAGTTTCTGATGAAGTTTCTGGTCCCCATAGACTTCCACTTTATAGCGAGAAAAAAAATCTATAAAAGTCAATGGTGACCAGACACTGTTTGGTTACCCATTCTTTTGTGTTCAACTGAAGAAAGAAATTCATACAGATCTAAAACAACTTGAGGGTGAGTAAATTATGTCAATTGTTTTATTTTTGGGTGAACTATTCCTTTAAATCATTTGAGGCAAGTACAGTATGTAATGACTTAACACAGTTCAGGTGTAATTTTGGCTCATGTTGCAACAGTTGTTCTAGTTAGTTGAATGTCACTTGTGTACTGGATTTTCAAATCGTGCCACAGATTCTCTAACTGGTTTGGGAACACGGCTCTGACTGACAGTCACCATGCATCCAGTGTAAATAATGAACTTTCCCCCCATTTTCTAGGTTCTCTTGCAAAATCTTCCTGGATATTTCAACATTTGTTTTTCCTTCTGTTTTAACAAGATACACAGTCCCTGATAATGAAAAGCCACCCCGTAGCATGATGCTAACTCCACCATATTTCACAGTAAGTAAAGTGTTTTCTGAAGTGTTAGATTTGCACCACACACATTTTTTTGGCTAAAGGATTTTGGCTGGTCTGGCAACAAAATATTCCCTACACTGCAACTGGGTCACTATTATACCATTTGCCATTTCCTGATCATTTAAAACAGCATCAGTTATGCATTTATTTTCTTTTTTTTTCTTGATTTTGACCGTTTGTAACTTGAATAATGACATCTTAATTAGAAGAGATAAATCTAGAATATGCTGTTGTTACTTTAAACATTCCCATTAGGGAGTATAACTGGAACGAGCCAATTTAACGGCAACTGTGTCCTCATTATGGCTTCGGCAACACTATGACAAAAAAACAAACAACAGTTCATCAATTTAGAAGAACATTTTGAACATGAAGTCTAATAATTAATTATGAATTTTAGTGCTTATGACTAAAACTGTCCCAGAAAACAAAACATCAACACTGAATTTTAAATTGAATAAATAAAAAAAATAAAGCATAATGAGTGATTTATACCAAAGCCTAAACTTTTTGGAGGCAATGCAGTGTATACTGACAAAAATTACAAAACTTCATCTTCAAAACTGGACTTAATACCAAAGATTTTAGATTTGATCTCGGTCGATGAACTACAGCTGTGTATCGAGAAGAAATCAAATTGCAGGACTGAGGTTAGGAAAGACCAAGGCGTAATGAGCATGTAGTGTTATCTTAGCAAAGGGAACCTGAACCTGCAGGATCAATACAGACCAACAGGAGAACAGGGAAGCAAGCGAGGGTCTAAAAACGATGTTGTTTCTCCTGTGTGCTCACGTAAGAGAGAATGGAGGGCTAAGACTGACCAAATATTGATCCCATTCATTTCAATCATCTCCAGACACTTTCTGCCATCTCTTGCCCTTCCTGTCTTTGATGAGGACCGCTGAGGTTCTGCGTGACATGTGTGAGTTATATGGGGCCGTTGTTGATGTGAAAGCTCATTCTCTATGCTGTCAGGATGTCTGTGATGATTTTCAGAAGTGCTAAACTCAGGTTAGCTTATCAGAAACAGTTGGTAATGGCTTGTCTGAGTCAATGAGATCAAATGACAATATGAGCTTGAATTGACATTTAACAACCACATAGTCTAGTTATACCATCTGTGGTGAGTTCCCTTTCAGTCGGTCACTCAGAGACGAGTCACGTCGGTGACCGACGAATTGGGATCTTGTTTAGAGAGACCAATCCACTTCGAGTGTAAACTAAACGAGCCAATGCGATGATTGCATCCAGCTGCCGCTGATCACAGCGTGAGCATAAAAAGGCAGCCGGTGCAACACATATCAGCTTTTCACTTCGGAGCCAAGCAACAACATCGTTCTGCTTCTACTAAACTGCTTAGTGTCTAGCGCGCTCGGGAGCTTTTTGTTTTGGCAGACAGTGCTTCAGCGGTGGTTGTTCCTGTGTCGAGTGGGTTGTGCACTTCAGGTTGCACTACCCCCTGTTGTGCTGCAAACGGCCGTTTCCCCTGTGCGTCTCAGCACGTAAAAGAGCATTTCCCTAAAAGAGTACAATAAGCGGGTGCATCTTTGTAAAGACGACGGATCGTCTTTTTAAAGATGCCGTTTCACCCATGCGTTTCTGGATGCGGTAGTAACCTGGCGCCGGGTGATGGTCACGATCGCTGCCTCACGTGTCTGGGAATTAAACACGCTGAGGTGGCGTTCGCGGATGAGTCATGTTCCCATTGCGGGAAGATGACCATCTCGAAGCTGCGGGCCTTTAGCTTATACGGCCTGTGGAGAAGCTGCCTCCGCCTTACATGCTACAGCGTTACTGCAGGTTCATCAGGCCAAGGCACTGAGGGACCTGCACGAGGGTGGTCATGATCCGGAAGTTCTGAAAGAGCTCTGAACCGCTACTGACCTCGCGCTCCGAGCGACGAAGTGCCCGCTCAGGTTGCGAGCTCACTCTACTAGGAGTGTTGCATCCTCCTGGGTGCTGGCTCGTGGCGCCTCGCTGACAGATATTTGTAGAGCTGCAGGCTGGGCGACCCCCAACACGTTCGCAAGATTCTATAGCCTTCGTGTGGAGTCGGTATCCTCCTGTGTTCTCACCTCAAACGGGTAGAGGCGCTGAGAGGCCCCGGTTTAGTGTCGGCTTGCTAAAACTGCTCCAGTGTCCATACTGTAGGCCCTGTCGAGTTCCTCCGTCCCCTCGGCAGCCAAACGTGGCAGATACGTATGTAACCCTCGTTCCCCGAAGGAGGGAACGGAGACGTCCCGTCGCCACGGCTGCTGTACCACCGCTGAGCGGCCGGGTCACCGGCTCGGCTACTCAGCGAAAACCTGGTATGCATTGCACCGGCTACCTTTTTATGCTCACGTTGTGATCAGCGGCAGCTGGATGCAATCATCGCATGCCAATGTGCATTGGCTCGTTTAGTTTTAAA